GGTATGTGGAACTCTCGACTTTCTCTAGCGCTTCACACAGCTGACCGTTTAGGCCTGGTGGAGATACCCTGACCTTTATTTTGAGCGTGCTGATAACGGGGCCCATAGATCTAGCAGACCTTTCTCCTGCATCTATCTTAAGTTGCATTTCCTAAACTGGATATGGGTAGCAGTCACTCCACCAGCAGAACTATGGTGTAAATGTCGTTCAATCTTAAGTTACATTTCCTAAACTGAAATGGCTAGCAGTGAGTCTTTCAGCAGATCTGTGGTGTAAATGTTCAGAGACGTTTGAGGGATCCAGTCAACTCCATAGTCGATGCAAGTAGGGAGAGAGTACGTGCACACCCTCTTTAATATTGAAGCATTTCGTCTGCTGCTTGTGGACTAACCCTAGTCCTGGTGTTTTGATGATAAAACTTGGACTGATAAAACTTCGAGTGGGACTGATATTTTTTTGCGGGATTTCGTAACTGATCTCGTACCGAATCAGACTGCAGAGATGAATACAGTTTTACTTTTTCTTGTTTTCTGAGAATCCAATAACAATTAGTGATAAACTGTTAATTCAAATGTAAAATGAATATCCATAATGTATATTTACGATAAAGATTGATATGTATTGTAATTTCAGATGTCAAAATGCTTTAAAATTGAGTTATTGTATTGGTCTCTTATTAAGGTTACAAGAGAGCCACAATACTATCTGGTAAGTACAGAGAATCTTGATTTTTGTTTAACTTCTTCATTGAGTGAAGGTCAGACACGTGGATGTTGACCTGGCTGGTAGCTTGTCTTGTGCTTTGGTGGTGTGGTCTTGTGGGCTTGGTCCTTGTCTTGTGGCTTGTACCTGGTGGCTTGTCTTGTGCTTGGTAGAGTGTCCTTGGTAGTGTCTTGTGGCTTGGTTGTCATGGTAGCTTGTTTGTGGCTTGGTGGCTTGGTAGAGTGTAGTCTTGTGGCTTGGTAAGGTGGCTAGATGTAGCTGTGCTTGGTTGGTAAGGTGGCTTGTCCTTGTGGCTTGTGGGTGCACTGGTAGCTGAGAGGTAAGCTTTTGGGCTGAAACCAGGTGTGCTGAACGCTGTTTAGAGGTGCGGATCCACAGGACGCGTGAGGCCTAGGAACAGTTACTTCTTCTCCCAGATGTGTGCATGGTGGGGGGGAGGTGGGGGGTGAAGTGGGGTACCCTCCCCTGCTGTTTTTCATCTCTTTAGTGGTTCAGTTCAGTTGGGTTTGCAAAGTCTAGCTCCTCCCGTGCCTTTTCTCTAGTGCCCCAGCCTATTTCAGCTATTATAGTGGCTTCTGCATTGTATTATACAATCCAACTCTAAAACCCTGTCATCTTTACCAGCGAAGTAGAGACATCCCGCCAAATACCCTGAGGTTTGGTCCCGGACGTCCGAGTTGTTGTGTCATCATCGTTTGAAGAGGCGGAGCCTATCATCTGGCCGAGATCTGGCTCCGCCCCCTTGCCTCTGCGCATGCGTGACTCCGTCTCGTCTCTGGAGTCCTTCAACGCCCACTAGCTCGAGCTCGATAGATGCCAGTTACGACAATTTATTTTGAATTGATACGCACAATGCATCCCTTCATAGGTGATAGTCACCAGTGATTTTTGTTCTCATACAAATCTAATATCTATTTGGATCAATATTTAAAGGAATATACAATGTTATCAGGAATAGAGATGCCTTTCATGTAATTACTTGATACATTTGTAAAGAAGGAAGGCGGGGAAAGTGAAAATATGTGGATATCTATTTTAAGATTGAGTTCTTTCCATTTCTCTATCTCTATCACCTAATTCCTAATGGTTGCTCAATACCCCAGAACTCCAGACATACCTTGTTTTCAGTAACTGTTGATTACTCAAGAACCACCAAATTATCAATGATCGCTCAGAGAAAGAGAGAAAGAGAGAGAGAAACAGAGACAGAGAGATCAGAGAGAGAGAGACAGAGAGATCAGAAAGAGAGAGATAGAGAGGGAGGGAGAGAGAGAGAGAGAGAGAGAAAGAAAGAAAGATGTAACAGAGAGAGAGAGAGGGGTAGGGTGTGAGAGAAAAGACCAAAAGATTAAGGGAAAATAAAATAAAAAGTGCATATTATGGAGAGTGATTAACATAGAGAAACTGTAGTGACAATTCGTGATAAGAAGATTAAAAAAAATAAAAAATTAAGTGGCAAAGAAACACGAGTCACAAGAATGGATGATGATCTTAAAAATTTATAACGGGAGAGATAGATGAACATAAAAACTATTAATGATAAGGAAAATTGTTATACCCTCCAGGGACACATTAAGGTACAGGTGAATTATCTATAAATCTACTACCACCCCCTCCCCCCTCCAAAAGAAAAAAAAAAAAAAAAAAAAGGAACCACCCCCTCCCCCCTCCGCCAAAAAGAAAAAAAAAAAAAGGAAATCTGTACAGAAAAAACGCCAAAAATGTGACAACATCGCAGAAGCAACGTTGGAAATCTACAGAAAAAAAATCCCGCCAAAAACGTGGCACCGTCGCACTAGTATCGTATGTATATGATCAACCGGCCATTTTTACTATCATAGGAACAGATATCGGATAATCGTACTTGGATAATATTGTACAAGCAGGGGAGTCACTTCAAATTTACCGAAATACAGAGGAAAGGATTAAGGCATCTTATGGAGCAACTTAACAATGAACTTAACTGCTTCTGTTTATTATCTGTTCTGTTAAACATTCAGCAGGAAAAAGGCGGGAAAAGGACTCAGTGTTTCTGGCCTTTTTTAACCTCGACCTTTTAGTGATTGATTTCCCCAACTGTGACCTTATTTATGATATCATTTTAGGTCAACGGCCTCTCTTGTGACCTTCCTGCTGATTCTGACCTATTAAAGACCTTAGCTTAAGAAACTGACCTTTTTATTTACTGACCTGACCTTCTCCAAAACGTTTGATGTACTTAACCTTATCAACTTTATTATTTTTTTTTTAAACATAATCCCCTTTTTTCTTAGCTATCTCTCCTTACCTGACCTTATCACTTGCTTTTTTTATTAGACATCCTAATCCTCTCTCATTCTTTTCCTAAACCCTAATCCTCTATTTCCAATCCTTCGAGGTAGATAATACCAAAACCCGATCACACTGGTAACGAGACATAAAAACAAAAAAATCACCTGAAAATCACCTGAAAAATCACTTGAAAAATCACCTGGAAAATCACCTGAAAAATCACCTGAAAAATCCAAAATCACCTGAAAAAATCACCTGGAAATCACCAGGAAATCACTGAAAAATCACCTGGAAAGATCACCTGGAAAATCATCTGAAAAAATCACCTGAAAAATCACCTGGAAAATCACCTGGAAAATCACCTGGAAAATCACCTGGAAAATCACCTGGAAAATCACCCTCAGCACCCTCTCTCTCACTCTTTTTTTTCTAAACCGATAATTCCAAATTTGATAATCACACACTTAACGGAAGCGTCAGAAATCCACCTAAAAAAATCACCCGAAAAATCACCTGAAAAATTACCATTTCTCAGCACCTTTTCTCGGAATCCCGATAACGTTATCTTGCCTCACTAAAACAAGAGGTAGCCAAGACTCGGCTCAGTCTTGACACGGCTGCCGCAGCGGGGAGATCAATCAGCTTTGGTCCGCTGACTCGTGTGTGTACCCTTTCTCTCTCTCATGTGCGAGTGATTGGGAGTGCTTTCACGTGAGTGCTTCGGTGATTTGAGGAAAATGATCCGTGGTATTGAGATTTTTAGAGATTTTAGAGATTTTTTGAGTTTGTTTAGTTATTTACGTGTTGGTTTGTGTGTTTGTGATCCCCTTTTTTTTGTTTTTTTCGTGGAATTCGGTGGTGCTGTCGAGTGAAAATTGTTTTTTTTTTTTTTTTTTTTTACTATTGGCGATATAGACAGACCGATTTTGGCATTTCGGACTTGAGAGAAAACGTGGGGGGCAGAGGGGGGGGAGGGGGGAGGGGGGGGGGGGAATAAGAGGGAGCGTCCCCGCACTCGTGTGATATGGCCGTTCAGGCAGATGGGAAGGACACACATATATATGTGTGTGTGTGCATATATATATATATAATATAATATTATATATATATACACACACACACACACACAACACACACACCACACCACACACACCACACCACACACACACACACCACACACACACACACACATACACATACACACACACACACAACATATATATATATATATATATATATTATATATATATATATATATATATATATTATATATATATATATATATAGGTGTGTGTGTGTGTGTGGTATCGTGTGTGTGTGTGTGTGGTGTGTGTTGTGTGTGTGTGTTGTGTTGCATATATATAATATTATATGTACTATATCTGTATATATTATTATATATATATAATTATATATACCACTACTCTATACTATTATAAAAGCAGCACTCCCATCTCCTCTATTAACTGTGTGCCATGTCCCCGTGTGTGTGAGCAACTCGTAGTGTGATGTGTGTCGTCTAGTAGCGTGTGTGTGTGCTGTGGAGTGTGTGTATTGTTGTGTGTATGTGTACATAATATTCGCTATTTCTATATGTACTATCTATACACCACACACGCAGTATATATATATATATACTATATATTATATATAAATTATATATATTATATAGTATAGTATATATAATCTAGTTACTATTAATATTATTATATTACATTGCTCCCCCCCCCTCCCCCCCCAACCCCATAAACTTCCACAACAACCATTTTCAGTCCAACCAGCACACCCCCCCCCCGCGCCCCGGCGGCCGGGGCCCGCGCGGCGCACCTTTTCGCCCCCAAACTCACTTGTTTCCCCAAGATCGACCCACCGACACCCACCAACCCACCCAGCCCCAACCCCCAATCTAAAGACCCATACCACAGCAACGCCACGCCGAAGAGTTGATCACCCAAGACTTTTTTTTTTTTTCCCCTCCCCCCCCCGCGCCAGTTCCCATATTCGCAAAATCTACCCCACTATCCTCCCACTAGCGCTTTTTTTTGGCGGGGGGCGGGCGGGGGGGGGGGAGGGGCCCCCGCCCCAGCCGATCCACCCCACACAATCAGTCTAACTCCCATTTTCTTTTTTGGGGGGGGAAAACCCCCCCATGTACTCCCCATCCTCGAGATTCAGCCCTTCCACAAAACGTGCATTTCTCTTCTCTTGTAGCTTATTTACACTGTGTGCGACAACTGCCGGTATCATATACTCACTTATTATCCGTATAGCATCGCAATTTACGACAGCCAACATCAAAAAAAACAAACAAAAAACCATAATAAATAAAACAGCGATAACACTATCTGAAGCCGCCGTTCCTATTCTTACAGCAGTCACACACAGGTGTGAATCGGCAACTTCGCGTGGTGATTATTCTTCTTTATCGCCTTTTATTTCTTTATTAACAGTGCATCATCAGTCCTGGAAGATCCACCATGGGCGGCGGGCGACTGCAAGCGGCGCTCCTTCTGGTGGTGTGTGCTGTGACCTCGCTGACCTCGGCCAGATATGTAGGTCAAGCTGTTAGTGTTGAGGACTGGGTGGGGGTAATAGTGAGTGTGTGTGTGTGTGTGTGTGTGTGTGTGTGTGTGGAGTGGTGGGTGGGTGGGTGTGTGTGTGTGTGAGAAGAGATAGAGAGAGAGAGAGAGAAAGAGAAAGATTATATAATATATATATTATATATAATAGAGAGAGAGAGAGAGAGAGAAAGAGAAGAGAGAGAGAAGAGAGAGAGGCAGTGTGTGTGCGTGTGTGAATGGAGACTTTACGTGTGTGAAAAAAAAACTAATTTAAAAACTATTTCAAAAAGGATAATATTACATCTAGTGATAGCCCTTCATATTAAGGATTCATATCCCACATAACAGCGAGCTTCAAGAAATGGACAGTAGATAGCATAACATATCCGATACATTTTTTGTAACTAATATCTCAACCTTTCTTCAAACCTTGGCCCAAAAAAAAAGAAAAAAGAAACAAATAACGGTTTTTCGAATACGGACTAATTAATATATTCTACTTTCAGGAAGGTGGCATCCCGCTTTGCAAGGACTTAGTGCAGGTCAAGAACGAATATTCGTGGGAATATATGAGAGGCATTAGTGATGTAAACAACGATTATCCAGTGAATAACACGCATGAAGGATGCATAACGAACATAACTTTATTCGATAACCAGCTGAAGGGTCTAAAACGGTGCCAAAATTACTCGAGAAGCAAAGAACCCTGTATGATGGTGGAGGAAGGCGAGGACAACATTGTACACGTTTTGATGTTGCTCCTGGACGTGCAGTGCGACCGCGGGAAACAAGCGGACAAGGTGAACGGTAGTTTAATGTGCTTTCACTCCGTTCCGAACGAGGACACCGCGCAGACAGTCCTCACAGTGCCAAGAACCGAATCCTCCATCCCTCAGACCATGGACACGACCGTCACGGTGCACACACACGAACCGGAAGCGAAGCCCGTACATGAACACCTGAACCATCTTTGCGACAAATCAATCTACGGAACACTCGGCCTCGTGGCATCCTTGGCTGTGAATGTAATCTTTGTTATCCTGATTGTGATTGTATACAAGAGAAGGAATGGTTCTCGAAGGCTGAACTGCATGGAATCTCCTGAATCCGGTTACAGACGGTGCAGTTCGGATGGGAGCTTCCTCCCCCTGGATGACATGTCAGGACAGACGTGACATCAGAGAGGTCACAGAACAACAGACGTGATTCTTGTACAGCGCTGGAGGAGCAAAAATCTCATATCTTTTATTTTTTCCCGATTTCTTATCATAAATCGGCTAAGAATACCCATATTTGTGTGTGTGTGCGCGTGGCTGTATATATGTACGTGTGTTGTGTGTGAAAATATATATAATATCAAATGTATAAAGTTAGAAGCAATCTCATGTTGATTAAGTGTTTGATAAATGTTTATGTTGTAAATAAGTTCACTATTTTTTTAGTTTTTAAAGCAGTTAATCATAAAATAAATTGACATTAATAAAAGTAAAGTGGGTTTGTGCTTTTGCGAATCCTTAGGTCTTGATGTAAAGTTTATATAAGTGTATCTACACAATTTCTGACGAAGATATAATCGAAACCGGTTAAATACATCTCTTGTATTGTGAAGATATTCGGTCTCATTCATACCTTTCCACACGTATCTACATAAACACAAAAGTTCCAAATATATGGTTAGACGCCCACACATGCACATATACACGGACACACACACATACATACATACACACATATATGCATACGTACACATATCCAATTATAAATATATATATATATATTATATCTATCAAATAATTCATAATATGGCAATAATATAATATATAGTTAGATAAGAGCAGTTTTGAAACTCTTCTGCTACGATTTTATCAATAATAATTACATTATGCAAAATATAATCACATTTATAAACGGAAGCTATAGTCATTGACATAAACTTATATCGCG